GATATATATATATATATATATATATATATATATATATATATATATATATATATGATTGCGAATGTTCTTATGCTTGATAGTTTGCCTTAAGAATTATTGAGACTAAATTATTATCAGTTTAATTAGTTTCGAAAATCTTAGAGAGGTGGGCGCAGGTAATTAATTTGCTTCAATCGGTGAAATTCGAAATTCTAAACAATTCTACATACAAAAATTACTTGAATACATGAACAAGTATTTAAAAAACTTGAGAAAAATTTAAGTTTAAGAAAAAAAATTGTTTGAAATTTAAGCATTAATTCCCATTTTATGATATAACTCTATCCTTTACAGTATCAAATTTGTTGGCCGATATTACAATAGCGCCCTCAATCAGTATCTTTTCTTCTATTAAACGGATATTTCCACTGATAGCATAGAAAATGCAAGTTTAGAGGAATTTTCGAATAGTCAGTATAAGTGCACCAGTGATTCATCTTTTTCCAATCAATGATTCATCCTTACCCAATGACTACGAAAATCTTTTTAAAACTATTTGATAAATTTTCTGCATCCCATAAGAAATATGAATTAATTAAAAGATTATCTTCGCACATACTTCTTGCTTTACTCTTTCAAACATTCAATGCAGGAAGTGTATGCATTTCTATCATTCAAACTTCCAAATGTTTGAGAGATCGGGAATGGAGGTAGAAAGCGGGAGGAGGATGAGGTGCTAGATGTTATTTTGGTCAATTAGACGAGCAGTAATAAAATGGAATTAGTTGATAGTAATGTTCCTGTTTGCTGTTCCGTATTTTTCATTTCCTGTCCCTAAAAATGTTTGGCTTGAAATAGACGTCTTACACTGGCATAACTGATCTCTGGATCTCGTTGCTATTACGGATGTTGTTGTTGTTGTTGCTGTTGATAGTTATCCATTGACACATCCTGTACAACCACTACATCTCTATGGTCGCAATGGTTCGCGAATCCTTTTGGTAAATCTTTTGGTCAAAACAAATATATTACTTGATATTACTTGACTTTGGTCACCAAAGTGAAGTTTTCAGATGGTCAGGTGAAAGGACCAGTGGTTACCAATAGCTAAAAATAATCTGTCATTATCTGTTAGAATTGTGATGAATTTTCGATATCGTCGAAAAATATTTCAAGCATGAAAGATTGACAAATCACTCAACTGAATCCATCAATTCAGTATTGTGTTCATTTTTACAATTTCGAAAAATACATTTCCATCTATTCTCTTACCTATTAATTGACCTCTCTTTTCGGTATTGCACATTGAATCCTTTTGATGTGAATCAAAATTCCGTTCCTAATGCCATTATAATCAACTTATTTGTCAAATCACCTCTCCACCCTCCAAAACTTTCCTCGCCCTTTATCTTCTTTAATCTTCCAATCTTCTGGTCTCTCTTCTATCCAATAGTACGGGAATCCTTGCTTTATCATAAAAATGTGTTTTGTAAATAATGATAGTTTTTTGTTACTTTGTTTCATAATATCTAAATGCAAAAAATTCGGATAAAATACAAAGTCACCTTTTTCTGTCCACCATACTATATGTAAGCAAAAAATTGTTCTCATCTAGACGAATCCTAAAAGATTCTTGATGAATTGCATTCTTCTATATCTTCATATTCTAATAATTTATTCATTTCTAATTGTAATGGATATTCGACACTTACTATCCCATATTTATCATTGTTATCATTACTTTCATTTATCCTTATAATAACTGCGCTGATGTTACTTTTATTATTATCATAATCTCATTACATCTTTGTTATCCGACAAGTGACTAATAATGTTTGACACCTTGTTGGATTGTATAGAAATGCCCTTTTTAAGCTCTTAGCATTTCTGTAAATGTCATTAATCTCCAAAGAAGATCTCCAATCCATTCTTATTCTCTACAAGACTATCCTAAATTAAGGCATTCCAATTGCTCAATATAATATGAAAGATTCGTACAATGAAGTTTGCAAGTTATTAATTGATTTAATTAGTTTGAATGCAACCTTGGATTATTAAGTTTGAATTACCTCTTGTTTGAATTATTGTCTCTACCTTCTTTATATTATTTCCAGTTTCTAGTAGTATCAGCCATGCAGAAATGGTTTCACTGCAACTAGATTGTAATTTAAGTGCGAATCGTTCATTGTTGGATTCGTTAATTTCGAGCCCAGCAAAAAAAACAGATCATGTTGCTGGCGAACGACACGTGCAAATATTTATGAAGCAGTTATTATGTGCACTGAAATGCATGCACGACAGGAAGATTGCTCACTTGGATATCAGACCTGAAGTAATTCTTTTACAAGATGATCATCTTCAGCTGGCTGATTTTGGCCAAAGCAGGTAGAGTTTTGAAAATTAATTTTATTTTTGAGACATTTTTCAGAAAATAAAATATTTATGACTTTTAAAAGTTGATATTTTTGGGTCCACGGGAGCTAATTCAAAATTCACTTTCGATACTTTAAAGAATTCCAATTATTAAATATGTGCCATATCAACTAAATGATTCAATATAATGGGATGCTGTCTGTCGGATATTGTAAAATTAGAAAATAAATATTTTCTTTAAAAGTCATATCTTCCACAGATCGAACTTTTTTTTAAACCAGTCTCGTACCATATATTCCCTTTTATTTGTTTCTCTAACGGTAAAAATGATGTTAATTAAATTCTTTTCTTAACTTTTACATTGGTAATAGTAGCATACTTATACTAATAGTGGCCAGAATTTTCTATCATCAGCTTATCAGATATTTCTGTCGCAGAAGTGATCGTTTCAATGTGCACCAATCCAACTGAAAGACTGATGTTGTAGGATACGGTAATAAATAATCAGCTGAAGTATTAGCTGTTTCGAAATAACTAGAAATCATTTACTAGAAAGTAGAAATATCAGTATCAGTTGGAACACGAAAGGAATTATGGAATATATCGTTCAAAGGAATTCAATTTATTATTTTTTCTAGAAAATTTTTAATGGAAAACATTTTAAACTGAAAAAGAAAGAAGTTATTTTATCTTCTTAAGGTCTATATTTCTGTGTCGCTTATTACAAGTGCTTGTAAAAGGATTTAACGTATAATATTTACTGCTTTTATTTTGCCAAGTAAATGTCATAAATTCCAGGCGGTTGATACGTGGTAAAGTTATAGCCAACATAATGGGCAGCCCGGAATTTGTTTCACCAGAAATTGCAGCCGGTATTCCGGTTACACTTGCTTCTGATTTATGGAGTATCGGTACTCTCACTTATGTTTTGTAAGTTTGATCAATAATATTTATAGTTTACTCTTTTTTTTGGTAATATCCGAGTCAATAATCTAATACGGTTAGCTTCTTTTTGGTAATATAGATCACATTTAATATCTTTTCAGGCTCTCCGGCATTTCGCCATTCCTTGGTGACAATGATACGGAAACGGTGCGAAATGTTATCCTAGGCAACTATACACTTGATACTGAAGAATTCAACCAAATTTCCAGTGATGCCAAAGATTTTATTTCGAAACTGCTAGTTCTTGATCCATGGTATTGTGTCTATGACTTTTAGAAGAACTATATAATTTTACAGTGGTTTTATTTACTCACTAACTTTGTATCAACTGTATTAACTCATTTCATTGATTGATTGATCTATCAACATGATCTTTGCAGTGGTCGTCTAAATGTTGACCAAGCGCTGCGTCATCCGTGGCTTTCGAAAGAATTCTTGGAAAATGCTCCAGTAACGTCGGAATGTTTGCGAGAATTCAAATATAAGCACAAATGGCTGGTAACTTTTTAAAATAATCGATCATAAAAATGATTTAATAAGCAATTTGAATGTTAAATGTCCCTAGAAATCTTCTAATTAGTATTAGATATGTCATCATCATCATCAATTATCATCATCAATCATCAATCATTATATCATCATGGCTAGACTTCTGCGAACGAAAGCTTGGGAAGGGCTCTGCCCACGCTTGCTGCAAAAGCTATATATTGAATGAGGTTAGAATAACCTCCTCGGTGGATTTTGTAGGTGAAGTACAGTGTGCGCAGAACTGGCCCTACCTTTACTTTTAAGGTTCATCTACCAAGACCTAATGAGTTAGGACGGTGACAGTGAAGTTCTCAGACGAGAGACTGTATCAGAGTATTCTTCTTTTCAATTGGAGACTTTACAGGGCTAGAAGGATTCCATCTGCCCGGGTTAAGAGTTAGAGTTGTCCTTTTACTAGCATGGTTAGCGGGAGGGTAATAAGCCCATCTTACCCGTGATCCTTCAACTGAGACCTGTCTGGTATGAGAGACCCACCGAAGGTTTAACCATCTCCTGCATACTTTACAACCTCTCTCTCGCGATAAGGGGTATGCGTGGAGAAGATGCATATTAATGTTAAAAAATGATATGATTACTTTCTGATAGCACTAATTAATTGGCGCTTCGATATTAGAATATTTTTGATAAATAATTCAGGAAAGGCGGGTATTCGTTCAGCAAACTCCATCCGATCAATTAATGAGTATTGTACAGGTTAGTCAAACAATGTTTCTTACCTGTCAGTATAGAAATTATCGCGATTATCACGAAGTGGAATTAACTGATTGTATTAATAAGAGTTGTGATAATTTCCCCACCCACGTAATATTTGATTTTGTAGACGAAAAAAATTGTTGGTTGCAAGAAACACTTTTAGTTTCTTTCTCCTTTCTTTTTTTCTTTCTTTTTTATCTAAAGACATTTCTTTTTTATCTTAAGCATTTGAATTATTTTTCAAAGTTGAAGCTGTTTTTTAAAAAAAAAAGATCAAAATTTTAAGTCGTCCCAGTTCGAAGTTTTTTTTATCCTTCTTGAAATGAAATTTAATCTTTATTCTCTTGACTACATTTCCACTACCTTAACTTGAAAACATTTTGAGGTGATGATGTGTAAAATTTTTTAGTATTTGTTTTGTAAACAACTGCTGAAATTTCATCTCTTGACGTTTTTTCGAGTTCCTATCACAAAATTTTAGACTAATTGCATGTCTTTTTAAAATATACATAATGAATTGTTTTTCAAAAGTTTCCAAATTTTCTAGGCTCCCAATTTAAATCTGGTTGGTTCAAATTTGCCGCAACATATGCAAGGTTTAGCTCATAGTGAGCCCTACGATATTTACGATTATTTACGAATCAAAGATCATGTTTCACCACGTGATGTTATCTGCGAAAGTACATCGAAGCGACATCTGCAACCACAGAAGATGGATGAAATAAGATCTCGAAGGCTATTGCAGCAAAAATCGCAGGTTTCGGCAGATTTTTCCGATCACCCGGTAAGAATTTTGCAAAATTTACCTGAAGCTCTCAACTTTTAAAGCGAAGACGGGACAGAAATTGAGAGATTTGGAAATACAGTGAAGTGGGAAAAAGATAGAATTCAAGTGTTATTATTACTTTGTAACCTGAATCTTTTGGGCCACAAATTGATTCTTGTTCAGACCTAGCAGAACTCTTCTCCAGATTCTTAACTGTTACAAAAACCTTTACAAACAATGACTTATATTTGATGTGTTAAAACTAATAAAATACATTCATATTCAGGTAACATCTACTCTCTTAGGCTTGCAGAAGACGATTTAATTTTGAAGACCTTTTTCAATATTTAAATAGATTTTCTCTTCTCGGATCCCTAATTGTCGAGAGAGAGAGAGAGAGAGAGAGACGAAAGGAATAGAATCCTCCTAGAAGAAGCCAATCCGTCCTCCTGCTTTAAAAAAAAGTCCTCTCCTGTAGAATGAAAACAGGAACAATGACCATCTCTTTCCTGTTTCTACATCATGCTGTTTGGCTTAAGAAGCCGAAGAATTAATCAAATTTTTGAATTCCTGTAAACCTCTACCTTCCCTTAATATTTATCCATTTCAGATGTTACCTTTAGAGCTCGTTCACGGAGAGCATCGTGAAATTGAGGAAGAAATTGCAAATCGGATTTTATCAGACATTTCCGAAGAAACATCAATAACTGGTTCAGTAGTTTCACATGATGAACCAGAATCAACGCATAAAATATCTGAGGTGAGATGATTTCCATTTATAATTAGGGAATAAACCAATGCTTGTGAATGTATTTGTCTTGTTCCATGTCATAAAAATTTCCACCAAAGCATAACATTGCAGGAAAGATATTTTTTGAAAAAAAAAAATCATCAGGTATTCTGATGGCTTTTGGCCGTTTATTCTTCTCGTCTTATCATTCTTCCATAGCCAAGGACAAAGAAGTAAATTTTAGCGCTTTAAGAATTATTAAATATTAACGCTAGTTTGCTTTCACCATCCCCGAAATATGTCTAATCAGCAGTTTTCCTGCGTCATTTTCTTATTCTTAAACTTCTAAATGATAAGACTTTTAGGAACTATTCCTAAAAGAACTAAAGGAATTTATCGCCAAATAACTCCAATCTTATTTAAATTTATCAAACATCTTTTTGATCAGTGAGAAAGCGGATATTATCGGGTTATCAATTTGTTACTTTGAACAAATTTTTTAAAAAGATATTTAACCAACTTTACCTTTCGTTTTTCACTTTTCTCCACTTTACTCCAAAGCAGCTTTTCTGTTTTCCTCTACCCTAACTTACGAACTACTTCAAAACAAGAACTATTCCTTTTTCGTCTTCTATTATAGCAATTAATTTTTTAAGATTTCTGATGCTGAAAAACGGTGTAAAATATTTGTAATTATATTTGAACTTTAAATGTTTTCTTAAAGAAAATTGGAACTCTCAAAACTTTTTCAGTCTCGAAAACCGATTTTTCCAATTTTCAAAAAATACTTCATGTGGGAAGAAATTGTATTGCAAATTATGTGAAATTTACTATCTGTTTTTTGGTCATATTAGCTTTTCTGTCATCATACATTTTTTTTTTTTTATTAGAGACAAATGAGACAAACGAAAAGTCATAGTAAGTCATCTACTCCACAAGTGGAAGGGTTTTCATTGGATGGTACACCAGCTGCTTCACCAGTTGGAACAGGAAGTGCCGGCACATCGCTTCCGGAATGTTATTCTAATATTGATGTGGTATTTCTGTTTTATTTAGTGTTTGAGGTATGCATGATAGATCGTTGTGATGGAGCACGATTTACCTTAGTTTACGATACCGAGAGGACGTAATAATTCTTTTCCTGTACCTTACACGACGAATTCGAACGTTTTGAGAAGTAACGGATTTCTGTCTGGGTAACCAAAGACTGTACAAAAATTCTAAAGAGCGGATCCGGGAGGTACATGGACGAAGAAATATTCTAACAGTATCCTGGATCGAATGTTGAGTTCCATCGGGAAATTAAATAGAAAGATTTCCTAATTTTAAGATTTTAAAAAAGAAACCAGTTTGAGTGGAAGGTTGTTGTGGCAGTTCGACAAGAGAAATATGAAGATTGTAAAGGGAAATGGGGGGGGGGGGGGGGGTATGATATATTTGAAAGTTAATATTCCTATTGTTGATATTGTGGTATAAAAAAACGCTACTTATTCCGCCAGTTTACTTTTAAAACTTTCCCAATCAGATGGTTACTGAGCTACTGGTTTTGCAGTCTGATAAATTTTAATATCTTTCAACCATTAACACTCCCGAATTCACCACTCACTAGCATTTTAGAGTCAGCGACAATGAGACCTGATGATTAACGAGAAAAATTAGATTTTTAACATTCAATAAAATTTTAGTATCGACATCCAATACAGTTAGATCCGAGTATCCCGCCTGGAGCACCGCTTTTCCTCGAAGGACTCGAGCATCATCCTTTAGTACTTGAAGGTATTTTTATGCGAAATACAAATTCGAACAATTAAATATTTATTACCGGAGGATTTGAGGTAGGCAGGATCAGATGGGGACAAGAAAACAGAAATGAAGGGGTGATCTATAAGGCTGTTGTATTGCATTTTCTACGTTTTAAAATCATAAGAGTAAAATTTCAGATGTACTGTCGGATACACGAAGTCCACTCAGCTTGCCATCGTTGCCGGGCACAAAAAGTCCTGTACTGCTATCACCGATAAAAGAATATACCATGGGAGTAAGTCTCGCTTATTTTTAATCAAAAACTACAATTTCAAATCTTGATAATTATTGATTTAGTTAAAGTCAGTAAACTTTTCTTCAATGTTATTTCATTTATTTACTTAAATGAAATTATTCTTCCCTCGTTTAATTCCATTTATTTCCTATTATAAGTTAAAATTTATGTAAATTTTATAAAGAATCTTTGTTAGGTAGTAATTGCTACCAAGCAAGGGACAAAGGGGATTGCTGAAATCGCGATATCGACACCAGAAATTCTTGAAATAGAAAAAAGGCCTGAAAAGCAGAGGGCTAATGAAAGGACGCATGAAGACGAATTTGAAAATTTTATGAATGAAATTGAGAAGGCGAAAAAAAAGAGAAAGGAAGAGGTAAGCTTTCATTATATGATCAATGATAACCTATCGATTGGTACATCACCATTTAAGATTAATGTAAATTCTGTATTTAGACGTAAGCTTATCAATCGCTTTTCACGGACATTGAGCATAGGCATTCAAACATTCGAGGAGGTTTTTCCTGTTTTATTATGTAACCAATAAAGTTATAAATTTGGAATCCAAGAGAATTACAGCGTGAAGAAATGGAACGGTTACGTCCAAGGAACGTTTATGATGAGGAGATCGACTTTAGAAAGCCGGACACCGATGAGGATGAGTTTCCATGGGAAAGTCGATATCAGGTAACTGCTGCTAAAATCTTTAATTCGGATGATTAATGCTGGAGAAACAGAATAATTCCTGATATAGTTTTTAAAGTTCGGGAAATGTCTTCTCACCTTACACAAATTTTATCGATGAGTGTTTGGAAATTACATTTTTTTCATGCCAAATACCTATTTTTCTTGAGTTTATACTGTTGTTAAATTTGAGATTCCTTCCGGAAATTCATCCGAATACTTGTTTTACGGTTCTTGTGGTACTTTTGAGATAGTTTGAAACAAAATTGTGGATCTCAAATAATTTTTAATATCTCAAAGAAAAGGAATTATATTTCGGTTACATGTCGTAGAATTAACCGGAAAACGCTTTTACTAATCAATTGCTAATGCCCCAGATTGGTCCCGAAACACTTTTACTTGCAACACGTGGTGCAGGCTTCAATGCACGTGTCCGTGATTACCGACGGGAGTTATGGGGTGATGGTGCACCATTGGTAAATCAAGGATATCTCGGTTATCGAAATCAAGATATTACTGTAAGGGAAAGGAGGAGGTGCGGTGTAGTCTTATTTCCCTTTTTTTTCTGAATTTAATTTTTTGATGTCAATTTCTATCAAGTCAAAATGATTATTTGAGAATTTATGTGGTTATGTGATTCATTCACAGCTTCTTCAGATTCACTGATTTAATGCGTGAGGATGAAAATATCGCGAAATCAGTGGAGAATTTGGAACGCAGTATGCGTGGATCTCATCTTGGTGCTATAAGACGTATTCGCAGTGATATCAGCAAAGCAGTACCGGCAGCTTCCAGAGAAAATGGAAGTAAAAAATTATTTTTAAAAATTTTTAATTCCAGTTTTTGACATTTATATATATATATACTTTTGTCACTTACTTGAAAGGCATATCTTCAAAATAGATAGGAAAACTTTTCATTTTTCTAGCCTTCGGTGCTATTTTCCGGAACCGATTAAAGGATGTAGCATTTGTGGGAAACAAATGCACAGTGATATTTAAATGTGCAGTGGTTGGTAATCCACAACCAACTGTTGAATGGTTTTTTAATGGAAGTCTTGTTGTGGATGACCACAAACATAAGGTTTGCAAATTTTAACTTCTGTAATTCTTTACTTTAAATGGTTGATTATGTATTCATTGTTTTATTACTTTTATTTCAGATATTTTATGAGAACAGTCACTGTCAACTAGTAATCCAAATGACTGACATAACCGATCTTGGTGAATACTCTTGTATTGCGTCCAACGAACATGGTATTGATAGGACCATTGCTCGACTAATTGCAGGAGGTTGTTTGATCCGTCTGAAACCTGATTTTTCAATCTAGCATGTGCAATCAGAGCTGTGTGTTTAAATACATAAGCGAAAATTATCCCTCTGTCTTAGATACACCGGCGCCACCCGGTCGACCTGATATCGAGCTTTCATCGGACACGGAAGTGTTCATTACCTGGGAACCACCGCAGATGAGCCATTGTCTGGAATGTTTTATGTATAAATTGGAAGTTCGACCTGCAGGTAGCTATTGTTCTCGTTACTCTAAAATATATGGGAGAATTTAAGAATGATGAAGCATAAAAGACCTAACTTAGGGATGGACAAATTCTTTGTTATCAAAATTTCAACCTTCGATTTGAATTGAATCTATAATTTGCGGTTTAAACTTCTATTAATCTTCAAATCTTCAAAGGTTTTGAATTTAATCCTGGCTTAATTTTTAAATTAAGAAATTTCATGTTCTTTTTATTCAGGAGAAAATGATCATTTCTCGGAATGGCGTCTTATTTCGGATAAAATCGAAGATGAAGCAGCGATCGTTCGACACTTAACACCACAAGGCATCTATCAATTCCGAGTGATCGCTAAAAATGAATTCGGTTGGGGTATTCCATCATTGACATCTCGAATCATACAAACACATCCTAAAGGTTTATTTTAGTCGATATATTAATTTTATTAGAGACCAAAGCTCATCCTGACGAAATTCCTTATAAAATTCAAGATTTTAGATCAGTAAAGTAGTGGTGTAAGCTGAGCTTACATGCGTAAAAGTAATGCTTAGAAGTGATCTCAATAGATATGGTAATTAACAGATGATATTTATTCGAGTGGATATATAAAAGAGTTCCTATAAAGAAGTCTTTGAATCAATCATCTCCAGTCTTGGCTATCTCAATAACTCTTTTATGGATATCCGTATTTCATCGCTCATTTTCAGGTTCACCAAAACTACAAGTTGAAAAACTTCAAGGTCAGTGTCGTTTGTGTGTCATTTCGAAACCACCGCAGACACGGCTAATTTCAAAGTCTAAGAAGCTTGGTGAGATTACTGAGGAGGATGAAGAAAAGACTGAAGCAGAAGAAATTACTTCAAAAGAACAAACTCAGATTTTAACCTTGAATACTTCAGAAGATCCACAGAAACGCTTTCGGGTAGTTATTGATTTTGCTGTTTTTTGCTCGTATTCCGGTAGTTGGATTCTGTTTCAGTAAAAATCCAGTAAAAGTATTAAAAAATTAAAAGCTAAGATGATTAGTTCTTATAAACTGATCATAATTCTGATCTGCGTTGCTTGAATGTATTTTTATTTGGAAAATTTGAATTCAGAATTTGGAACTCAAAATTTTTTTAAAAAAAAATGTAAAGTTTAGCTCATTACTCCGATACCTCGTGGTCGATTCGGGGAAATTGCATTTGCCATCGATACGTTTCGAGAGTCAGACGCTGACTGTATGGCCAAAATTCGGAATATTAGCGTTGAAGGTGCTAATGGCACCATCGAATTCGAAGCCATGAAGGATTGTCAACAAGAGAATATTGCCCATCTGATAGCGGCTTATCAGCGGTAGGGTGTTGAAATTCTTCATTTAATCAAGAATTTACTTGTTAAATTTCCTAAGCGGCGAATTAATAATTAGAAATAATCTACACATGACTAATTTTTAGATTATTTCATGGTCTTAATAAGCAATCGAGTGATCAGATTATCTGATCAAATTTCGTAAAAGAAGAAAAAAAACTCTTTGCAGTAACATTTTAAATTCTAAAATAGTGTTGTCCTTATTTAATTTTAGGAGTGATCTATTGTTTCTGTTTGTGGAACGATATCAGGATGATATTTTTGAACGATTTACATGTCGTGATAATTATAATGAGGAGCAGATAAGTAGAGTTGTAGTACAAATAGCATCCGCTCTTCACTGGATTCATTTCAAAGGGTAGAGCTTTACTGCTTAAATTTTTAAAATGGAATGTGACATAAATGGTATTTTATAATGCTTTATAGTACAGTTATTTAGATTAATTACTTTATTTACTCAAATGTGAACATATTGCACGAACATAAGTGAACAGGTAGCGTTATTTTCAGTTACGTGCATATGGATGTACAAGCAACCAATGTTTTGTTCGCATCCCGTCAATCTTGGCAAATTAAACTTACCGACTTTGCTTCAGCGCAAAATATTGGTCATGAAATTAAACAACCATTAAAACCAAACCTGTACTGGACTTCACCAGAAATACTCCGTACAGACGGGAAAAAAACTCCTATCACAGCTCAGACAGATATTTGGAGTCTTGGTGTGATTACTTTCTGCTTGTAAGTAAACGTTTATATCGGATTTTCTTCTTCTCAAACAACGACAAATGCAAAAATTCATGTGTATTCTTTACGGAAAACCAAACTTTGAGAGAGCAGAGAATGCTTTTGAAAAGTAAGTTGAAAAGCGAAACTTAAAAATAGTCTGTCGCCTTTACGCCCAAACGTTGTGTGTTGATGTATGTATGTAAGGATAAATTAATTCAGACTGAGTGGATTCCATCCATTTGCTTCAACAGATGATTCGGACGATGAAATTAAGGAAAATACTATTTATCAGAAATGCAATCCAAATTTGATCCAAGTACAAGCAACGGAGGAATCGTTGAAATTCGTAACTTGGGCACTGAAGAAGGATCCGATGTAAGTTATATCTTTGAGTTGGCCTGATCTTACTTCATATTCTTGTTTAGCTCTCACTTCTCTCTCTTAGTTAATTATGAATAAATATTCAGCTTTTTAATCTTAAATTTGAATATGAGTTCCAGGAGACGTATGCGGACTGATGAAGCACTAACACATCGTTGGCTCAGTATGGATGCAGTAATGATACGTCGACGTGAAGTAGTCAACTACCCAAGTAGTCGACTTCGAAGAACGGCCATCTTGACGGCCAGTCATACTAAAGACAACCCGCCACCGATGACCCATTTAGTGCACCATTAATTGGAGATCTAAAAATTTTCTCTAACATTGTGCAATCGAAAAAATTGTGTTCACTTTAAAACTTGATAGATTCTTGAATTATAAAATCATTAAGCTCTTGATTTGGCATTATATATATTATGCATCCTATGGAACTATCCGGACTTCTATCATTTCAGGAAAAGTATTTCTGAGATTTCCACTGCGTTATTTGCTAATATTTTACTTCACTTTTTGAGATTTGCTTCTGTATCGGTATTTACGAACTTGCCAGTGAAAATAGATAATACTGTTTCAAGAAAAAAATCGGTTGAAAAATTCGTATTAGAATTAAAATAACTTTCATATTCTATCAATCATCCGTAGATTATTAGTGGATGTCTTAACTGATTGGTAGCAGTAGATCTTTTGCAGAATTCAGAATTCAATCGACCATGTCATGAGAAAGGAAACATAAAAAATGGATCATATCGCATAATTGTTGTCTAATCTTATTCATCATTGATCTTTCGTACTGCTTCATATGTCAGTTTGGTTTCAACTATTTCTTGTTTTCTTCTTTACTTATTTCCAAAACATTTTTGCATTGCTCGAAAACTGAATTTTTATTGTCTTGGTTGGAGAAACGAATGCGCCCTCGTTATTTGTTAATAAAGTCTAGCTGTAGTGCGAAAATTATTGTTTCTACAGAGTAAACAAACATTCAACAAATACGATAAGTCTTTCATGAAAATTTTAAATATTTGCTTCCTTACATACATTGATCTCAAAATTGGCAATGTATATGGGATACGATGAAAACAATTGAGCCTAGACTTGATCAAAATCACATCAAAATGTTTAGTTTCACAGGGAATTATCATTATTTTTTGTAGGACATACAAATTTTACCCGAAATTCTTCAAGAGAATAGTGGCGAGATGGCGAAGGAAACTATAAGACAGATATTACTGGATACTCAACTCAGTTGTTTCTAGTTATGAAATCATTCTATCTCAATCAACCATTGCTCATTATTACGTAGGAGACCAAGTTACCGTTTCGTTTATTAAATCCATTCATCGGAAGCTTTCGGATAATTTTTCCACTTCGCAGATTAATTCATTTGCATAAAGAGCATTGGTATTTTCTCTAAAAAAAGGAAAAAAAACGAAGAAATTATAAGGTTTCATCTAGTGAGTAAACGAGTTTGAAAAATTAGCCAATCATTTGATTGAAAGAAAAAAACATTGAAAATTTATGATGACCTGCTGGGTCATCCGATGTAACTTGCTGTTCGGCATTGATTAGATTATTTTATGAAAGATGACTGTGACACTATTTCCTAAATTACTTGCAGGCAATTTAGGTGTCTTGAAATCTAATATAATTTTTGCTAATTGAGCATTCATACCACTTTCAAATCTTTCTGAGATATGTGTTCTTAGATTAGGTATTGATTTGGATATTTTACCTTCTACGAGCCATGAGGAAATGCTGAACCTGACAGACATGTTAGGACCGAATCCATGAGTCAAAGAGATCCAGAGGATACCTTCTAATCACTTATAAATCTAATCTAATTATTTATTTGCAAGCACAAAAATTACTCTAATTACTTAATCACTTATAAAAATCAAGGGGTCTGAAATATAGCAAGTGACTTACAGGATGCAAAGATAGCATGATTCAGCTTAACAGTTGAAACAGAGAAGACCAATATTAGCAGCCAGTTATATGATCATCATCGATCGATAGATTAAGAAAATATTAGAAATCAGTCTGGGATATATCATCATAGGATATGTAATGACAGAAAACATCTTTGGATTATGTTTGATTGCCTTTTTTCTGTTTTACAAATTCTCTTTCATCACTAAAAGGCTAGTCAAAAGTTATTCACAGCAACAATGTCAACATAATTAGTTATGGTAAGATTTTTATCACCCAAAACTTTCTCATATTAACGTCACCAACACAAAATAGTTGTCAGTGATTATCATTTCTGCTATCTTCACCAAATCCATTCTTGTATTAATCATAAGGAAAATCAATTTCTGCCACTGTAACATGTTGATAGTGTTATCGGAATAATCAGCTGTTTATTTGTAATTACTGTCATTGTGAAAAATAAGCGTACTGATTCTTACTTCACATCATAAAGTTCCATTATTTATTATAACGATTTCCAAACTGCTTCCATAGTTAAGCACTACTAGCTGTGTTTCGATGAAATGAGGAATGAAAAAAATTGATAGCTAAATTCATCCTCCAACCCATTTGCGCCTTAGGCGGTAATTTTTCTGAAATCCAAATCACCAGTGGGAAGAATCCCAGTAAAGCGATGGATTTCTTCGCAACAAAAATTTTCTCTTTCATCGTCTTTCTTTCTTTCTTCTATTTTGCCTGAATGAATCGGACATTTCCTATAAAAAAAAAAGTGGAATTTGGAAAACTTCTCTTACCTTCTCCTGTTATTTTTTGCCGCTTGTTGGCAGTTCGTCAAGATATTTTTTCTAAGTTGGATTATAAGAGAGCGGAAGAGAGGGAGAGGGAGAGAGAGAGAGAGAGAGGAGGAC